AAGAGGTATAACAACCTGTGCACAGGTCCACGTCAGGGACCGAGGTAGGGCTCCATGATTCAGTTACTAATATCGCCACAGGTTTGGTTCGCAAGACTTTCGCTCTCAAGTCGGAACTTTTCTCTGGCAGCGGGCATGCATTTATGAGCAGAAGTGTGAAAAGGTTACTATGACTTGTGAAATGTTTTACAATATATTGTGCTTCTGGTTGGCCAGAGAAGTTTCCTAAGCTTAATTCATTAGATGATGGGCTACTTGAGTTGCAGACATTGAGTCTCAGTGGCGGTGAACGGTATACGACCAGCAAAGTTTTATTGCCCGACGATTCAAGATCACCCACTTTTGGGGGCACTTATGCGTAGTTGGTGCGCTGTTTGTTCTTGCTGGTGACGTACAGTGCGGTTTGTGACCGGCGTAGGTCAAGGATGGTAGCTTCAAGCTTGTGTTTCTGGGGAGCGAAATGATCTTATGGACCATGGGTAGTACTTATCATGCGGGATCCCAAAAAAATTTGGCGGGGCTCAGAAGTAGGGACAGTATTTGGGGGGTAATCATATACATTTCCATAGCACGGGCTAGGGTCATCCGGGTGCAGATGTAGGTTTGGGCAAGGTATACGTGACATGCACGACATGGATGTGTTTGGCATGCCACGTGGCATCCTGTTGGGGACCTGATGGCCGGGTAAACGTGGTCTAGGGTACTGTCTTATGCCAGATGCCTCCAACTGATTGTGGTGCCTCTTTCTAAGGGTTGAAGTTAGGTGTGAAACATGCCCTTTAGGCTGGATTTTCTTTCCAAGATGCCCTACTTCCCATGGATCCAGTATCGGTCCTGCCTATAGCAATTATCTTAGCTGCGGAATATCACTCGCCGTCGTTGGACGGAATGCGTTTAAAATGGCCTTCTTCGAGAGCTTCGTTGGTTCAAAGTGCATGGTTTTACCCGCCGGTCTGTGTCCAGTGACATAACTGTCAACTAAAGGGTTTTTATCTACGGCCACCTTAGGAAGGCTAGTGCCGATAGTTGGGGTTTCATGAGAAATTAAAGAACCCGGTCTGCTTTCGTCCAGCCGACTTGGGAATGCTTTATTTCCAGAGTGACTGGCGTAATATTGTTACTGGTCATAGCAGCACTATTTGATTGCTTCTCAGTGCATGCAGTGCCTTCAGAGTTTGCATGTGTTGAGGTGGTGGGGCATTTTCTCCCTTGTTTTCCACGCTGATATGGGGTTTGTCGTGTTCAATCGTAATAGTTTTAAGATTGGCACTTGGTCTTATGTGCTCCTGATGGCTAATAAACCTCTTAGCATCATATAAGGTGATGAACTTGAAAAGGGTGGGGCATCTTAACTATGCATCCCTCTAGCGGAGGCACCTGCAATCACAATGCATAGCCTCCATGCCATATGAGTTTAATACCCTTTTCTCGACGGCATCCAAAGATATGGTATCTGGAACATTATATACTGTGGCCTGATGAGATGCCAGCCTCTTCATTACCACAGTTGCCAAGTAGTCTATTGGGGTTTCACCTTCTTCGATATGGTTTGGGACTAGGCTGTTGTGTGTCCCATGAAGATATGCTAAGAGATGGAGGTTCTCAAATACCCCCTTGATTCCGTCCATCATGGACTTAATACTGTCAATTTCTTTTTTATTTTCCCTGATGTTATTGTTCATGACCGACATAATGTCTTCAGCCCTGACAGAAGGTATAAGACACGTAAGTTCGTCAGGATCTGGACTGTGTGACGTGATAGGGTTTTGGTCACAACCCGAACTATTAGCGGAACCAACTTTGTATTCTTATAGACGGAACTTCTATCTTTGAGCACTTTGCTTTCTACCGTCGCATTCTCGAAGTAGGTTTTGAGCGAGATATGCGACTGACGGTAATGGTATGTAGTCCAAAGGGATGGGAATAAACCGTCTATAGACTACGGTGTAGCCCCATAATTTGCAGACAGAATACATCGTTACATTCCTATGAATATACGGCAACGATGAGCTAAGCGCAACAGTAAATAGACGAAAAGTGATCAAGAACCACCTGTAAAAGTAGCATGTGATCTCAAGGTTACCGCGTCTTAAAAGCCAGTATTGCATTGGTATCCACAAAAGATTATGGAGTTCATCTACTGCATTGTGCAGTCTGTGCGTTTCCCATCATGTTAGCTCAGGTGAAAAATGAATCCTGCAGGGACTATATCATACAGAAAGTCATGCGTTGTGTCCAGATGAAATGACGACAGAAGTCATCTACTGGTGACCTGAAACAACTGTTCTACAGAAGAGAATCCCCTTGTGTCGTCAGCAACTACTTCAAGTTTGGAGAACGCATTGTGATTCCGCAGTCTTTTTGTGCAGAAGTCCTAAAGCAGTGACCACTGGTCACCCGGGGAATAGAACCAATGAAAGCCACCCCCAGAAGCTATGCCTGTTGGCCCAATATGGATTCCAATATAGCTGAATTTGTCAGTTGTCGCGCGTCATGTCACGAGGAAGCTAAGTATCCTCCAAATCTTCCACCAAAGAGCTGGCCATTGCCGGACCCACCTTGGTTAGTAATCCATGTCGATTTATCACATCCATTGCATGTAACCTACCACCTGATTGCAGCTGATTCTTATTCAGGGCGGTCAGAGATCGTTGCAGTATCGCCCACGTCATCACATCGGTCAGTTGCAGACCTTTAAAATATTTTCGTCCGCCATGGGTTGCCCGAGGCCACTGTTTCAGATAATGGGTCACAATTCACCCCTCGCGAGTCTGTTGAGTTTTGCACTGTGAGTGCAATTTGTCATATTCGTACACTGATGCACCATCCGCAATCCAATGGCCAGGTATAAAGGTTTGTTGAGACCTTCAAGCGAGTTCCCCTTAGAAAAGAAAAAGGAGGTGGAGACACAGATGCCTTACAACAACTTTTATTCATTTATCGCTCAACGCCAAATGATGCTGTATCAAATCGCGAATCTCCGGCAGACGTTTTAATGGGAAGGAGGCTGCGTGCGCCACACCATGTCGTACACATACACCGCAAGCAGTCGGATCACACTCCAGCAAGGGAGACTCCGTCTACGTTTGATATCACAGACCAGAAACATGGGATGTGGACGGAAGGAGTTGACACGGGAGGACGTGGTAGTGTGATGTGCGACATAAAGGTGGTTCAGGGGAAATGGGCGGGACGCAATAATCAGATGCGTCACAGAAAAGCCAGCCAATCGGGGAATCCAACTATATCACTCGATATTCAGCTGGATATGTTTCCTTTACCAACAACGATGAAAAAACTCGAAACCAATACCAGATGTAATCGGAAGTGGTCTCAAACAGTGCTTTTCCAAACGGCATTAGTTTTTTTAAAGAAGAGAAGCGTTTGAAGGCCCCAGATTCGCGTAAAACATTGTTATTGATCTGAACATTTTTTACATGTCATTTTCACGCCATTTTTACAGCATGACTAGTAGTTTATTTTCTGCCTCCATTGCAATGTAATTCGCTTATTAGTTAATACTTACTCTTACCATGTCAGTGTCTCAGATTGCAGACAGCGTGCGTATTATATCCGTTAGGAACATATAATCCTGACATATGAGGAACCCAACTGCATCGTAGTCCCAGGAAAACTGGGCAACGCTCAGTCACCTGTTTGGTATGCCAGAGCCATAGCGAACGAGTGGTTGGATCTACTGCATCGGAATCTGCCAAAGACTTGAAGCCCTTCGTCAAGACCTGGGAGCGAGGAGGAAGAAGTCGACAGGTTTACGCAAGCTAGTAAAACAGTTATTGGATATTAAAAGTTGTTCAGCAGTAGTGTCTTTCATCTAGGGGAGGTCGGACAGCTTGGTCCAGGGGATTCGGTTTGAAATGTAAATGATGCAGTTGGCCGCACTCGCGCCATATCCCCCAGAATGCAGAAGGCTAAGAGGGGATTTGGTGATGACTTACAATATACTAGGCATTCCTAGACATCTGTTTCATCATTTACTCAGTCTTAATTTTGACAGAAGTCAGGCATCGAGCACAGCAAGTTAAATATCAGATATGGCTTCTACTCTCCGACGGGTTGTTAGGTTTTGAAACACTCCTTCTGCAGGGATAGTTTCTGATTCCTTTTCATAACCCTCTAAACGCTCACTTGACGACCACTCAAGATGTGGAAGTGAATGCCATCACAACTAACCCCAGCCATTTATTTTGAACCGTCACTTTTTCGCTCGTGTCTCCTTGCACTTACTCTTCCTTTATTTCTCTGGACATTTTTCCTACTTTCTTTTTATGACCAGCTCCATTAACTGTCTGGTGGCATGACACTTGAGGAACCGACCATCGTCACAGTCCTTGGGGAAATCACACAATCCCTACGAATTTAATCATTACCCAACAGCCTGTCGGGGCAGCCAGAGCTACAACAGGCAAGTGGGTAGGCATGATGCAGCGGAACCCACCAAAGACCTAGAACCGTTCCATGAGACGTAGAATCGATCGCAAAGAAATTAGTTGGTTTACACTGGCTAGTAAATAGGTACCGGATATTAGATTTCGGCTACACTGGTTAATAGTCAGAAGAACTTGTGGCCCACTCCTTCCGGAAAAGCTGCTAGTTAAATGAAAGTTCATATTCCATTATCGGCCATATGACCTAACTTGATGTTGAATACACCACCATAGTAACAGGTTGAATTCTATGACCTTGGGGCTATCTATACCCTATTTGGTGAGCAGTGCATTTAACGTTTAAGTAGGGTGAGTCGTTCGTATCACGTTCAGAGATAGACTATACTTATTTGTCCTCTTGTTTGAACTAGGTAGAATTGGCACTGTGAGTTCATCAGATCTTTTCTATGCTTTGTAGAGATCTCTAACTAATCAAATCGCCAATGAAAAGGCGTATGCATCATCCTGCAAGCCCACTGTTACATCGGTTCACTACGTGACAATCTGCGGAGAAATCCTCGAATGTACCTGTAGGGTTTTCAAATCACACATACTATGCCGAAGGTAACAGCTGTTTCAAGTTGCTTAGATTTTTGTATTCCACAACCTTCAGTCTTTAATAGTAAGAGTAGTAGCAGGCGAGATGGCCAGTGGTAATCCCTACATTAGGTTTCCCCATAAAGAGCCAGTTCCACGTCCAATGCATTTAACGGAGCTGATATATATATATATATATATATATATATATATATATATATATATATATATATACTTGTTCGGACAGATCTACTCGAACGACTAAAATTCGAGTTCCAGTCGTTGACCACCCTGTATGAGAAGCGTAAACTCACGCACTTAGACACTCAAGTCTTTGATTTCTTTGTCACTAGGTACTGGTTCCCCATCTATCAGATACTGATGACAGCTGCTATGATCAATAAGCGTGACTACATATTTGCTAAGATTGATTTCTAGACACCAGTGCTTGGACCACTTGACTAGTGTATTTTGGTAGACATCTGTCGTCATCGTTATGGGTGGCCTTCAATATTTTCACAAATACTGTTACGCTACATGCAGATTGAGTAAACAGCAATATTATCTTTCTCCTGGTTTTCGTCTTACAGTATTTCAAGGTTTCACCACTGCAAACGATTTTGATGATAAACATAACTAGTGAACCCAACGAACAATAATTAGATACCATACTTTACACAACTATAGTTTCAGCGTCTCAATCTGAGATTTTCCACAATTAAACAGTGAGGAAATTACTCGCAAAAAGGTTTCTGAGAAACTTCATGACTACTGCATGAACAGTCTTGCGAATTTCAATTGATGCCCGTCAGAAACTGAGAGTAGAGAGTCGACTTGGAAAAAGGTATCATATTAGCAGTCTGGAAAGAGTTAGTACATCCAGTCGCAAACAAACTGACTAATTAATATCGACAATTTAGGCAACTAAATAGTATGAATATTAACGCACTCAGTGGGCAGTCGCCTAATTGTCAGTGTGGATTATCGAAACCCTGAGAACACTATATCCAACTGTTTTTGAAAATACGTTGAGATGTGCTGTCAAATAATGATGTTACTTGAACCTTCGAAGGCGTTGATAAAGGTAATATTTTGACATCACAACCTATATAAAGTTTACTTCGGTTAATAAACTGTATCACCAATTAGGTGTCTATCATTCAAATTATTGTCGTAATAACCACGAACTAAATTTTGATTGGTCCACTTACGTACTAGTTTCTCGATCCACGTTTGTTGATATGCCCTAGCAACTTAACCGAAAACGTTAAAAAACTGTTTACATCTGTCTGAAGTATCCGTCAAGTTACTTTCATCTGTTTAATCTCATCAGATCTTTAAATCATCAATGAAGGGAATCATGATTTCGTAATTCTCGATGGTTCATTTATGACTGACTGACAAAACAAGGGTAGAACCTTGTATCAGAGACACAGCATTCATCTATAGCTGGAGATTTCAGAGTTTTGGTGAGCTATGGTTGTTGTCTGATTTGGCATGTAGTTCGGCCGTTGAGAGCTGCTATATGAAAGCGATGATGGGGTCTTAGAGACTAGGAGTGGGATTTTGATGGCTTTGATCGTTGGCAATGGTCGCAAAATAAGAGGTTGGGTAAGGCCTTAAAGGCTCAATGTGAGTATCAGAAGGTAAAGGCAGAGGAGGAGACAGCTTAGGAGGACAAGCTGTGTTTGATTGGGTCTTTTGGACTACTGGAATTGTGCGGGCGTTTGATACCTTCAGGCTGAGCACACCTTGAAAAGCTATTTATTCTTAAGGTACCTGAAAGCGTAAAAGATTTGTGACTGTAGGGCTCTTGGGACATGTCATATACGGCCTTTTGTGGGTTGTTGTTTTAAGGTTTGTTTGTCCTGACCCCCTATAGACCAGAAACTTATACCGCCGGCACCAGGAGACTGTTGTTGTGTGCGTGGTGGAGTGAGTTAATTTTGAGTCTGATCTTTCCTGACCTCCCGCTTCACATTGGGAAGGTAGCATCAGCGTCCCAATCGAAACACCTTACTGCTGTCACACCCTATCCAGTTAGTGGCAGTACGACTTTGTTCTCAGACACCCATCGTAGTATAGTAGTTTACGCTACGGTGGTAACTACTTCTCGTCTTACCAACAGACCTTCTTGGCATGAGAGAGCGTCGAGGGAATAAGCGTTCCACCGGCATAGCTCGTTGGGTTATTTTGATATGCGAGCCCAACCATTTCGTCAAGATAGCTATTGGCTCGGGGTGGTTCATTTATGTAAATAAAAAATAGCAAGGGACGTGAATCTATGCTATGCAGCACTTTCCTCTGCACCGTTTTCTAGGTGCAGTTTTGGAAATTTATGCTTACTATTTATCTCCTATCTATGAAAAATTTCTGAGAAATGCATGTTGCGAACTTGACAGCAAAGTTTGCTTTCTAGATGAGCCGTAGTGGCTTTCGTGATTATTGTCTGAGGTGAAAATTTGGAGGTATAAACTTCTTTCGGCACAGTTAGTTGAATTATGTTGGAAGACAGTTCAGGGCAACCAGACCAAGACGTAGCACCAGTTGATAAAGTCTCTTAATGTTGGTCCGAGCCATGTAGGAGGATGTAAACAGCCTGGTTGAGGTCTCTGAGGTTACAGAAATCAGTGGTTGACGAATCTTAGATGTATTCACTCTTTGGTGTCTTACAAAGCTTGAATGTTTTGACTCACCTTAATTTCTAAATTGTTTCTCCCCCCTTCCACGTTTGCCTTCTTTGCTATCACCCTTTTTGTATTTAGCTGTTCTTTGTGTCTACTGTGAAGTCTAATAACTTAAACTGATGAACTTGCGTGTGAGGTCCTACGTTTATTTAGTCTTTCTATCTATCTACTCCTCTAAATGAGTTGTTTCTGGGCCGCAAGATGGTGTTTTCGTTTAGCCGCCTAAGAATCTAGCCCGTTTAAAAAGGCTTTTTTGTATTAAACCTTAATCGATTTAAGTTTGAGGTTTAACTCATTTTTATTTAGCATGGCTTTCTCTAATGTAAGCTATAGTATAGTATTCACTAATTATCGATAACATAAATAGTTATGATAAATGATATTCGTCATAACTTGAGATACCAGTTTATTGACGCCGTCTAGATTTCACAGCTGTACCAATCATAAAAAATTATTCTGGCCTTCATGAGCAGATTAGGTGAATTAGTACATTGGACTAAATTTTTATCCCTGCTCGAAGTTGGTGGGAATGATCGATCTAATCAACTCTTTCTTAGCACTTAAAAAATCCTGCATAACCGTGAGAAAATATCATTTCTGTCAAAGATACTTAGCTGCTTCAATGAACTATCAAATACTGAATAGGGAAGTTTATATACAACAGCTGTATGCATTTGAGTTGCTGAATTGTTGACAACCTACTAAAGCTTTCATCTGTTGTGTTTTTGAAATATGGTATGACGCACTTCTAATAACTGTAACTTTGTTTTTCGATCACTGTGAACTGTATAATCCAAATCGGTTTTACTCAGTGGCTTTTTTCTTGTCAATTGGGCCTGTATGAAATTTTTGATACTGTCATTTACACTGCTTTATCGAGTAGTTATGATTCATTTGGTTACTCCTGAGTACGTACATACGATGTCTGCTTATTCGTATCATTCAGTTATTTGATATCATTATGAGCCTGGGATCACCGGTTAACAGGCATATTTGTCACAACTCATACAGATAAGTCAAAGTTACGAAATAAATCAGTTGAATCTAAGGGAAATGCATAAGTTGTTGAAAGGCTACGACAAGACAACTAAGTATATCAACGGAGTGTTCGTTTGACGGAATGGAGATTATTTTAAACAGCAATGAAGCAACGTCAGATGCAGTAATTTCTTGCGCTTTTACTTTTTCAGAGGTATTCTCACCATGTGATGTCGTTGAATAGGACTTCGATGGTATTGGCTATGAACGTGTACTAGGTATTTGGAGGCCACCGATCTCTCTGCTGGCGTTCAGACGCTTGAGGGGAGTGTATTTGTGAAAAGTTTAGCGTAAATCTGAATTCTTGACATTTCAAAGTACCGGGATGAATACCAACAATAGGCATTTTTAACAGTTATTTAGCCTCCCTTTGAAACTGTTTAGAAGACTGGTAATACCTAAATAAATGTGTTGATCAGACCCAGGTAAAATTGGTCTAGCTTATGTTTGTTTATTTCTTATTGATCTCAATGGTTCCATACCCAATTTTTCGTTTGTTTTTGATCAATTTGCATCGGTTGACTTTCAGAGTTCTCAACTATGCGTCCCTGGTTTCGCCGGACATCCGTGGCTTTCAGGTAAGTGCTTTTCAACGAGTACTTATGTTTTATTGTAAGGGTTGTCTGTCAGCTGCTTCTATGTGCTGAAATGTTTCACTACAAGTTTGAAAAATTTAGGTGACTGTATATCCGAGGACTTTTTTTTACATTACATATTATGTACTTTGGTACCATACCTTATAATAAAGCTTCCTAATTTTATAAAAGAATCAAACCAGTGCACACTAATCATTGCCGTCCATTATGTTGTTATATCCTACATACCTTTACTGCTATTCTTCTTCTTCTACTTATTATTATTATTATTATTATTATGAAAGCAGTGTAATACTTCTTTTTTCGATATTGATTCTGCTGAAAACTCGGTAACAATTTCCCGGACAGTGATCAGCCGTTTTCTCGTTGCTTACTCTCACTAAAAACCTAAGGTTAGTGTTTAGACTTTGATTTTTCTTGGTCTTAGGATGCTTGTTGTACCCTAGTTAAAGTGCGAAAACTACCACTAGGAGATCTTTGTAAACGCAGTTTAAGGAAGAAAATGGAAAGCGTGTATTTTATGTGGAATCGCCCAGAAAGTTAGGAGTGGTCTTTTAAATCATATCCAGCCTGTTCTATCTAGCGAAAAAAGTGCAAACAACAATATAAGGTTTCTAAACAACTGAACTTGACTGACTTCGAACATGTCTAAGAGCGAAAGCTTATAAAATAGAAGCTAAACAATTCTACGCCATAATTTTAAGCTATGAAGAGTGAAAATCAAGAGATAAAAGAACTAGTGATAGGTTATGTACAACAATTATTTAAACTTTTTAATGAATAGCGGTTCAAAAAAAAGCGTCTAGAGTGTCATGCAGAGAAAGATACATTGTTGATACCCTTCCAACGGAAGAGAATGTGGTGGTGGTCATCTCAACAATGCAAAATATTACTTTGCAAATGAATTGCACTTGTCTTTTTCTTGACGACAGCAGGTTAACTGATTAGTTGCTTTAATCATTTGAATTACCTTAGGAGTTGCATCGGCCTAGTTGATGTAGTTCTCGACGAAATCATAATATGGATACAAGTCTGTTTTGTCGTTTTCTAATTTACACCATCTGAGACTCGACTAAGATATACTAGTGTCCATTAAGGATTCATTGTACTACGCAGAAGTTCATTCTTTTCTTAGTGAAATATGGTCGTCAAAGGTTAGAGGTTTGCTGTGGTTCTACACATTTTACTACTGATGTTTTGATCAACCTTTATCACGGAATCACAGAGCGAGTGATTCTGATTGTACAATATGTAAGTGTATATCACTTGATGAACTTGTAAATCTTCGTTAAATCGAGCTAGCAATATATATGTAAAGCTGCCTTCTCTGTTTCATTGAACTATGTTACTTGGAGTAGGAACTGAACCGCAGAAGCCCTTGAGTAGTTAGTGCAAACATGTCATCTATTAATAAGTTTTCTCACTAGATTCGATCCTCCAGTCAACACTGAAGTTGTGAAGGCTGTTTCAAATCTGAAGCGATGGAAAGTGGAGGTGCTGAATGGTTTGCTACCAAAATTTTAGAGGGATGGAGGTAAAAGACCACCGAATATAGTTACTGAAGTATTAGGTAGTATGTGGGCATGTAAGGTTATTACGTCTGAATGTTCCGGACTACTGATCATTTCAATTTATGAGAACGATAGCCACAGAATGTTCACTATCTTCATTCATTCATAACTAGATTGTATACTTTATGGACGATATAACCCTGTGCATCTTTAGCTTTCTAAGGATTAACTTACTCTCTGAAAGGGATCCGGATGCCAAACTAAACTCTCTACTCCAACTCATGCAACCATAAAAAGACTTATAGAGAGTTGTCGTCTGCAGCGATGACAGCCAGTGTCCGCTGTCGCCGTTCCTCTATATTTGCGTTATAGATGAATTAATGAACAAAACTTTAGGTACGTCTGATTACACAGCAATTGACCCACTTACTGAAGAACAACCAGTTGACTTGGAGTACACAAACAACATTGTCCTGTCAGGTGATGACACTGACAAAATTCAGTTTCCTGATAGACTTCTGCAGAAGTCTGAGTGTGCTTGAGATATGATTTGCACTTATAAGCTTTAAAACGATGCTTCAGAACTGATCCACAGCAACTGCTTAAATGTAAGGAGTGAAGTGGTAGAATGTATTAACTTCTTCAGTTACTCCGGAAGTTGTACCAGCCTGAATGAGACGAATGCTAGCGAAGTCTCAGTCCGCATACATTGGGTTCGTTCGGGATTTGCTTGCTTACACTGATTAATACACCAGCGAAGTATTCAACTGCGTATTAAAGCAAAAGAATATTGCTAAACATTCCGATATTTCTTTTTGTACAACTAAAGTATTTGACCGTTAAAAGTAAAAGACCTAAGGTTGCTGCAAATTTTTAATCATCATTGACCAGAGCAAGATGTAACTGCAGTCTATGAAGTCTCTGACTAGTGACATGAACCACGTAGGGTATGAAGCTGGCTAACTGAGTTTTTTGAGACGATAGCAATGACTGTTTGGAGATTTGTTCTTACTTGTTCTCTCACTGTTCATACATTTTTTCTACTTGAATATCATTCTTTTTTCTATTTGCTAGTTCTTTGCATATTGCTGTGAATTGTGGCAACTTGAACTGGTGCACTTTTGTCTCAAGTTTTAAGCTTAACTATCTGTCAGTGTGCATTGGCCTAGTTTTATCCCCGTCTTATATTCACTTACTCTTGGGTGAAAAGTCAGTTACGAAAGAAATGTATTTTGAGGCTATGTGCATCATTATTTTGCAAGTAATTAGTTGTGATTTCATTCCTGCGTTGTTTATGGATCTAGAAAAGACTCATAAAGTTATACTGAAAGTGTAGCAAGCTCTTTTATGTGTACTGTCTGTATAGGTTATATGGTTTTTCAAACAACTCATCCTCTTTATGGTCATTTACTTGGCCGTGCTTAGCAGAAGGATCCAGGATGCGTGTTTCGTCCTACTTGGGACTCGTCAGCTGAGTGTACCTGGGCCCCAGTGAGTTATGCTCTTCTCATTGAGACTCGAGCCTCATACCTATCGCTTCAAACGCCAATGCGTTATCCACTAGGCCACTATGGCAAACTAGCCACCTTTTGAACTACGCTTTGGGGTTTGGAGCGATGGGTAGAAGGTTCGAGTGTCACTGGGAACAGCATCATCCACTGGGGTGCAGGTACATCCAGGTGGCGAGTCCGAAATAGGAGGAAACGTGCGTTTTGGATTCCTCTGCTAGCCACAACCAAGTGAAGTATCATAATAAATAATCAAGCAATATCGAGGCGTCCACGTAGGAGCTCACATGCCAACCAAGGTCGAGCTATTCAATTCACTATAACAACGGAGAATTACAAACATATCAACAAATGGTAATAATTCATTTTTGTTGTTGAGTAAATTTATACCTGCCTGCATGGACACAAAAGGTTCTCATGACTATAGCCAACTTTCGTTATCTATGGTTCCCACAAAATACCCGATTACTCACTGCAAACTGAGTAGTCCGCTGTGTTCCATGTGACTGTGAGACATGGCTATTAAAGGGAGAGGGCACGAGAAGCCTACAGGTTTTCAGCCACCACTGCCTTCGTAGTGTTGACTGTTTTTCATGGAATCTTGGGATAAGTAGTGTAGATGTTAGGCACAGAGTCTTAGGCAAGAAAGGTAAGTCAGTCAATGAGGTTGTTAACGTTCAAAGACTCAGGTAACTGAGGACATGCTTTACCTGTGCCTATTCGTCGTCCACCTTAACACGCAATGTTAATTAAATTGGGTTTAGAGTGGAATAGTATTGAAGGCATTTAGACTGAAACATGACATCAGTTCGTGTCGTCTCTGACTGTTGGTCTGAGCTGCATAGGTAAATGTGGGCTTTCAACCTACTGTCAAAGTAACAACCAAAATCGATGGTTGTGGACTGGATTCAATATGTATTTAGTATCATTGACACAAATGCATCCACACATTATCATCATAATTATTCTGTCATACTTTTTATTATTCTACCACTTCTTTCTTTTATGACTTCCAATAACTTCTGACTACACTTTACCCTCCTGGTTCTCTACCTTGCATCTTGGTGCCTTGAACGTTGATATGCTGATGTGAGAAATGTCAACTTGAACAGGAATACATGATCCCATATTAATACTGATTGATTCACTGTGATATATTTGATATGACACTCGATTTCCAGCAATATGCAAAACTAGCTTCTCATATTGAAATTTCAACATGTAAGTAGTATCACAACCTTCCAAAATATGAGTGTGGGTCACATGTTAGCACAGTTGTGCATATTGTTGAAGTGTATGAATAGTTATTGTTGTGAATAAATTCACGATAAGCAGCATAAATGAGTAATTCAATTTGTATAAATAAGTACGTGCATTTACAAGAAATAAGTATGACTGGAGTATGCAGCAAGTTTGCTGAAACACGTGATACAAATCGGTGGAGTTATCTACTATTTGAAATATCTGAAGAGTTCATACTTTTTTGTTAATGTAAAGTTGATTCTTAACATTTCGATTCCATGGTCGTTGAAAAGAGACTGAGTAACTTTTACATTGGGTTACTTAAAGATCTTTGTCTCACTAATGTAGTCTTCAACCGTGAATGAGAAATTCGCTAAATATATTCTTCAATCTAAATTGCATTACAATGGACATAAACTAACACGACTGACCTTTGTGTGAATAGAACCATCTTGGAGAAGAAACCTGTCATTAGTAAGCGTCTTATCATTCTTTTTGGTTGAACTTTGTCAGGAAAGTAGAATTCTTGAACTGAACCACAAAGCGTGATTTTCGATTGGTTATATAACATATCATCTTTCAGACTTCCATCTCTTCGTCTTCTTACTTTCGGTCGTGAGCATAGTAACCCCTTGAAAATAGATTTGGTACAAGATTAAATTAAAACACTAAATGGATGTCTTAATTTAAAATTTAGGTATCTGTTTAAATTTGTCTGCCTAAAGTAAACTAATAAACTTAATATTCCTTTTACATGCATACATATCGCATATTTACTCGCATATGCCTTCATTAAATATACGCATTTTTAAATCATATGTTGAACTGACTGATAGAAAATTTTATATGGGAAATGTGATGCTTAGTGTTTACTTATCTATTTCCTGAAGAACACGATTTCTGCCAAGTTCAGAAATGTCAAAACTCTACGGTTCTACTTTATTGTTTATTTTCTGAAATTCTGCCTACTATACGTGGTTTGCATCCTTGTTTTCAACGATCTGCACCCCGCCGTTCATTTCTCCCCGTAGTTAACGTTAAATGTTGCAGCTGAAACCGATGCTCACTTCTTGTAGTGTCATGTTGTTGTTTTTGTTGTCAGATAAACTATCTGAAACATAATATAGGTGTAAAACTTGAACACTGTAGTAGAATGTAATTCTGTATTAGAGATTTGTTTATTTGATGAAACTGTTTGAACATGTTCAATATTATCTTTGACTGATGCTGAAACAGTAGTAGTAATGAGATTTCTCATCTAAATTCATTTTTCACATGACTACTGCAATAGATACTGAAGATTTAGGTGCTGAGATTCGGTTTTGGCATATAGCTACTGCAAGTTGTAATAGTTAAAACTGAGCATGTGTGTGACTGACATTTATTATTATTATTTGTCCCTTGGGTTCCTAGTGGAACATAAGGCTTCAGTAGGACGTCTACATTTCACTCTCTTCTCTGCAGTCTTTTGAACCTGGCTCCATGACAGTCCAGAAGCTCTCATTTCGTCCTCACATGATCTCCTCTATGTCATCCTCACCTCGGACGCCTAACTCGTCGTTTCCCATCTGGGTTCCACTCGAGTGGCTGGCGCGTGATTTCCCTGAATGGTCTTCTCAGTGCATGCCCAATCCATCTCCACTTCCATCTGCATATTTGTTGGGTGATAGGTTGTTGGTTGGTTCGACGCCAGCCAGAGTTCCTCCTTGCTTATTGTTTTTGGCCATCTGATCTTCAGTAACGAGCGAGCGTAGGCGGCAGTTGTTGATGAATGTCTATAGTTTGTTGGAAATGCCTTTGGTAACGCGCCAAGTCTGTGAACCATATGGAAGCAGTGACTTGACTGAGATTGTTGTTGAAAATCCGGATGTTGTTCACACTTTATGCTGAGTGCAGTGCAGGAGATTTTCACACTGGTTTCAAGCTAATGAACGCTTGTCTTGCTTTTTGGATCGTGGCTACCTTGACGTCCTGGTGTGTGCCTGTGTCACCTGTAGTTGAAACAGTGCTGTCTAGGAAGGTGGGTGAAAGAGGCGACTTCCTTTAAGTTTCTCCTGTTGATGGTGATTGGAGCTTGTTGTTGTTGTTGGTTGGGTATCTTCATCACCTCTGTCTTCTCTACGTTCACCTGAAGAAATTCCGGTCTTCGCTGCCTCATCTGTCAACTTGTTAGTTTTCTCCTGTAGATCTTCAAGTTTGTGTGATATTAGACATAACTCATCGGCGAAATCTAGATCTTCTAGGGTCTTTTCTCTGGTCCAGCCAGCGTATCCCTCTCTTCTCGCTCCTCACTGTTTGTTGCATGATCCAGTCGACCACAATCAGGAATATCATGGGTGATAGTAGGTAACCTTGTTTTACTCCTGTCTTCACTTCAAAGGCATCACTGAGCTTCCCATTGTGAATTACTTGGCATGTGGCGTCTTCATATAGTTATCGAATGAGATTGATGAAGGTTTTGGGTATTCCGTAGTGTTGAAACAGTTTCCAAATTACTTGTCAGTCGGCGCTGTCGAAGGCCTTTTCAAAGTCGACATTAGTAACTCCCTTAGTTGATTTTCTAATCCAACTTGAAACTGCTGTGTAAGATGACGACACGGAAGTTATAGTGTAGGAAATGACAAGATTGAGACTCAGGAAGGAATCTTTATTATTGACATTTTGTACGGTAGTCATCAAATATTGTACACTTTCCACTAAAACAGTTGCACAGTTGCACAAATGTGTTTCATTTCCTCTTCTGTTTCTATCTTGATTTGCTCTTAATACGTCCACATTGTCTTTTGCGTTTCCCTAGGTAGAATCTTAACCCATTGCTGGTAATTGCCTATGATTTCTGCTGCCCTCTCCATTCTTATCAGCAACGCCCACTACAGTAGTTTTTGAAGAAAAAGGAGGTCATTTATTTCCTTACTTTCCCATCCAGACAACACATAGTCGACTGAAATGTATGGGACATATATAAAAAGCTTATTAAAGATATTTTTGGTGTACTTTTTAGTAAAATCTCTGACTACACAAAGTTTAGGGATGAAGTAGCAATTGCTGATTTCAACCATTGTCATCATCGTCAGGTTTGTAGGTATTGTATACCGAGTCACACACTTAAGCAAGTATATAAAGATTCATACTTCACTATCTTTACAATGAATTTATCTATTGCAATTTTCCCCTAGTTACAGCATTTACAGTTAATTGTGGCTTACAACTAAACCGACAGTTAACCAATCAAATTTCTATTTTTTTTGGTTGAACACCTACCATCACGAACTCATCTGATCTGTTTGCTATACATTCTCCTCCACTTTTTGTTTGATAAATGACTTAAATAGCGTCTTCTGTATTGCTCATATCAATATTTTTCGTTATATTTTCTACCTTAGCTAGATCTCTGTTAATTCTTATCTGATTATTATGCTAAAAATGTTTGCAACTGGTAGAGTTCCCACTTAATTCCCTTGTGTTTTGATTACAGCTAGGCTATGTGTGGTCACTATTACAATTAATAGGATTACGATATTTGTAGGGAAAAGGAATATGGTCTACCTACAATGATTGTAAAATCCTAATCAATATAGGTTTGAATGCTTTATGCTACCGTTCAAACTTGAAAAGTTTGTAAACAGATGGGGATTGAAAGTTTCCTCTTCCAGTTATTGCTACTTAACACTATCGTGACATTAGTGGTCTATGGATTAGAAGATTAAATGAAAAAAACCCTAATGGAACCCTCACTACTTGTATTCAACTGAAGCTGTGGTTTTCACAGCGAAATGTTCACGAGAGTTTGATTTCGATTTTATAGGATCAGATCACTGTATTGTGAAGAAAAGTTTTTGTGACAGTGCGTATGTCCCCAGTTATTCAATTTAGGGGTTTATGGTGACTTTATTGATCCCACATTATCGGTATTCATTCCGGACTCAAATCAGTTGGAGAGCCGTTGGAAACCTAGGAGTACCAGGGAACTGTTTCATACTAGTATGGGGCTTTTTAGCAGTACTGGACCATGACCTTCAAGTTACACGACCAGCATGTTACCATTCAGCCAATTATTTGTTTGTCGATGTTCATGTCATGTTTATGATAAGTTCTTGTGGAATATGCTATATTTTTCAATGCTTTTTAAATTCATAGATGCCAGTAAACGTTTTCTAGAAATTGCTCGAAGATGTACTATACTGGATAAAGACCCCGATGAAATACCATGTAAGTAACCATTCTCGTGTACTTTTTTATGGATTGCTATGCGTATATAATGGGTGAGTGTAAGGTCTAAATAGTCTTACGGACCTACTAACACATTGTTTTCTGATCACACAAATGTATATTGACCAAGAGTAATTGCCTAAAACTACTAGATATTGCTTTTCCATCATCTGTGGAGTTATGGCTCATGGGTTTCGGGAGTTGACTTTCAGCCAGTAGGTCATGGGCTCAAACAATGCTCCACCTACCGAGGTTTAGGCAGCCATGTAGTATCATTATACCTCACACAGTGAGCATGGCTCATTGCCTGCTGCAAGAATGTGCACAAGGTTGCTAAATGCATTTTGATTCCATCATCTACTTCAGCCATTAGGAAGACATATTACTCAGCTAATTATATTATTATGGAAAAACAAAACAGACACTACACCACAAACGTAAACGCTGCATCGATGATTGCGTCACATCCCATTGTGTTTGCCAATTTGCATGTGTGTGGTCACATATACGTAGGGAGGAGTAATCTAGCCATACAGTTGAGGGTGGGAGAACGTGTACCTGAATAGCTCTAAAAACTGTCAGATTGTGAAACTCTGATGAATGCAGGGTGGAGACAACCCTCTTCATCTATAGCTAAACAGATTTTGGAAAATTCACGTATTAATATTCAGCAACGTTTAAAGTTTTATGTAGAAACAGTCAGGAAAGTGTACTGAGATTTGTGGGGGCGATAGCCACACACAAATTGAAACCACCTTTATGTGTACAAAAACAATTTGTTCTTACAAACTACACCTGCCTTGGTAAACTTTGTTTTCTGACCAAAATTGGAATCAAGTATGTCACACTTCCGTTTTGTTCTCATCTCTCTTAATTTTAATCCCCTACCATCTTAATTGTTGCATTTGTCCTCCCACTTGACTTGATAGGTAAGTGTAGGGGTGGGGATCAGATTGTTCGAAACGTATTGCACAAATACATCACACATTAAATCTATGACAGAGTAGATAAATGAACAAGGGATGAAGGAAATACGTGTATAAGTTGCCTAATATAAGATGAATCTATGACAGTCAGGGCTTTATGATGACCATGGCAAAGATAAAGGTTGGACGTACCTTTTTTAGACGCATAACGCTGGTTCGAACTCCTGGATCGCTAGTGCTTCAGCTATAGACAAATCCCTTGATCCTACTCCCTTCGAGTGGTTTGATCAAACCTTGTAGAGAATTTTTAACGAACTCTCATAAGGAGCTAAGTGGTATGAGTTCACAAGGTGTTCTGTTATTGAACTCCCTTTGCCAACCAGGCTGGGTAGTTTGCGGGTATGTTTTACGAGCAGATGCATGGTACGACCCATGTACTCAGCTCCACAAGAGCAAGTAAACTGATATACACATACTGATCTGGCTCAATGCGTCGGCTTGTCTTTCACATATTGACTAGGAGAAAATAATCCGAAGGTTGGCAACGAAGTATGTTCTATTAAAGTATTTTGACAGTCGTTTCTTGAAGATCTCTGCAGCAATATCATTTTTGAATTCAAGATTCAACAAGAAAATCTTTTTCGGAGCTAAATGTGCTCGTTCAGTTAGGTTTCTCTGGCCTAATGTTTTGTCTATGAATCTATAAATCATACATTGTTCAAAGGAACTTCGTCTTCTAATATGGATTCATAAAAGGGACTAATTGTTTCAAATATTCCATTTCGTTTATTGTAAAGGAAATTCGTGTTGAATGTTCACTTTTCGTTAATTTATTTTTAAATTATCTGTAATTAGGTGACTCGGTATAACCAGTTAATCAGTAGTCACATTTACCTTACAGAGTCCAGTCCAGTCCAGTAAAGTGGACATCATGGCTTTTGTGCTGGTTAAGCTAGTTTAAGTTTTCAGGTTGATATCCATCATGGAGTGACATCAGTTGGAGAAACATTGGAAACCTTAAAGCACTGGACAGCTGTTTCGTCCTAGTGTGAGACTCCTCAGCAATGTGCATCCATTCTCCTGGACCACAGGGGGTCGAACCCAGGGCCTCCAAGTTCCTTGGTCAGCATGTCACTATTGAGCCACTGCGTCAGAATCCTGTGGTCCATATTTCCAACTTCTGTCAGTTCACGATATAGAGTGACCATCACCAAATATTATCGTTGAGTATTTGCCCTCGCGATCACCAAGTTCGCCCCGCCAGTCATGACTTCTCATTAAAACTTTGTGAACCACCTCTCAAAGCTAGTCACCAATTATTATTATTATTATTATTATTATTATTATTATTATTATTATTATTATTAATCCTTTGGGTTCTTATTAGAAAATAGGGCTTCAATAGCACGTCGCCATTTCACTCTCTTCTCTGTATTTTTTTGAAACCTGGCTCCACGACAGCCTAGAAGCTTTCATTTCTTCCTCACACGATCTCCTCTATGTCACTCTTGGCTCAGACGCCCAACTCGTCGTTTCCCCTTTGGGTTCCATTCGACACCCTGACGCCCGATGTCCCTGAATGGACTTCTCAGTGTATGGCCGATCCATCTCCACCTTCTTCTGCATATTTGTTGGGGGAAAGGTCCTTGGTTGATTCGTTGCCAGAGTTCGTTGTTGCCAATAGAAACTAGATCAATCGAATGAGGAGGTTTGTGGGGATTTAGTGATTTTTCAAGTTGGTATTAATTATCATAGACTGACATCAGTTGGAGGAACATTGGAAACCTCGGAGCACTGGACAGCTATTTCATCCTGGTATTGGGACTCCTCACCCATGACCCCGCACTCAGTGAGGTTAAACCCAGGACCTTCAAGTTCTTTGGCCACCACGTTACCATTGAGCCACTGGGTGGGAGTCCAAATTCACCAACCGCCAAATTCAAATCAAGTTATTATGCTTTGTTTGCTACATTAAGAATACTTACTGATCTATCTTAACGTGGTGAGAAGTAGTAAAACTGCTGTTAAATCTTGTATAGGATTTTATCAGTTTTAATTGCTACAACTCTTGACAACGCTAAGGAAAAGAGAACCGAAAAGCTGAGTAGGCTAAAAATAAAATGTAACAGCGAAGGAGATTTTCTTTTCGATTTCATTTACTAAAGCTATGCAAATTTTACTTACAATCAATGGAAACAAATAAAAAAGTCTATTGTTAATCAATAAAGACATGTGATGACTGTAGTAATTTTCAAGAGTAGAATAAAAAGGTTTCTAAAAACAAGGAAAAAATTTGCTACTTATGAGTATGGTAAGTTAACTGTCTGAGTGTAATAAGACACTGCTATCATAACGATACTGAACGTGATAAAATACTTGGTCTGAACACGATAAGGAATGTTCAGTGACCACCGAGTCATGCAAATAAAAGAAGACAAAGAATTGGTTCGATTGACGAGGTTGTGAACGTTAGTCGACTAAGATGGTTTGGATATGTACTGTGCATACCCAGCCACCGCCTACCTCGATGTGCCATGCTGATAGAAGCTGGATTCGGTTGGAAAAGGGTTCATGGTGGGGCAGATCAAGTCCTGACACAAGTCGATGAAGTCCCTGACTATTGACTTGAGCCGTGTGAGATATAGACTGCCTGGTTGGAGTCCCTGTGACGAAAGAAATCAGTGGTTGAGGACACTTGGTGACGCGGTTGGGAAACGGTCACAGTGGTACAGATATATTCACTAATCTTTAGCTTCACGTTGTTTATTCTCTCACACTATTTTATCTACTTTGTCATTACTCCTTTTCTGTCCACTTGTTCTTTATGTAATACTGTGAAGTGTGGCAGCTTGAGCCGATATGCCTGTGTGCAAGGTTCTATGTAGATTTTGTCAGTCAGTCAAAGACTTGACCATGGCTGCAAAAATGACTTTATGTATATAGTTTAGGTATAGTATTGGTCACAATTTGAAGCTCAAAAATTTTTATCCCATCAACCGGTGACTTCAAATACTGATTTCCATCTTAACCATTTTCTATCACTAAGGCAAATGAGTACGAATAATGATCTTGAATACACATATGAAGTTTAAGATTGTGAATTTCCATGGATTCAGGTGTATATACATGATGAAATCGAAGGTATTTCGGATTGAAGCGAAGCACTCTATAAATTACTTCTGAAGAACTACTACAAGGCGTTAAATATACAGAAATAATAAGATAATCAAGAACAAAGTGATTGATATCTTTTCTCTCTCCTCCGGATAACCATAATGTAGAATGTTGCGAAACTCCAACCCCCCCCCCCCTCCCTCCACCCCCTACCTGATTACACTCTGAATTCATCTACTACTATGTTTCATGCTTTTTAGCTTTTGTATTAACATCACTCTTCACATTATCCAAATTAAATTCAGTGAAAGTGTTGAATTAAAAATCGAAAAAGAATGTTGAGATGTTTCTTGATCAATCTAAATTCTGATCACAGAAAGTTGTTTATCAATTGAAAGTGAGCTTTTTTAGAGGAAAAAAACACTCACATTGTTTTCACTAATCATGATTAAGATGATTCGGTAAAAAATCTGTGATTAAGAGTTCACACTACAAGCAGACAATATCAACATAGAACCTGGAAGTTGTTCAATTTAAACTGATTTATAATAGTCTGATCAGTCTTTTCAAGGAATGCAGTATGCATAAATATATGTACATAAATAGTGATAAGTTCTGAGAATATATGCAAAAAAAAACTGAAGTGAAATATTCTTTCCTTAGTAAAAGTTATTGGCTTCAAAATTGAATATATTTTCTTTTAACCTCTGTCTCGACTTTTTTATATCTTTATAGTGACTTGGTAGAGCGTGAATTATATTTGTTTACGAATGCTTGTACAATATTTTCAGATTTCCACCTTTAAATGGTTACATAGTTTCTTCGTAAATAAAAATAAGCGGTAATATGAACAGAAGGTGTATTTACAACGTTAACGGCGACGTCAAACAATGTATACAAATTAAAGGGTTTATATACATGTATTACTGTAGCCTTGGTTATTTCCAAGCCTTTCTAGATATATAAATCCCATTGATTTTCCATCTATTCAACCATTTTGATTCACATGTTTTTCATTTTTGAGATGAATGGGGATTTTTTAATTTAGAAGTAGTATTCATCATGAACTGACATCAGTTGGGGAACCATTAAAAGCTTAGGAGCACTGGACAGCTGTTTTGTCCTAGTATGGGACTCCTCAGCAGTACGCACCCACTACCCGGCTAGGGACCGGACTCAGGACGTTCCGGTCTCACGGCGAACACGTTAACCATTCAGCCACTGAGTCGGTTTCCAGTGGTTCACAATTTCCAACTTCTGTCACATATTTTTCTCTGAAGCAAACCGATTGGTTGAAAAAGGCTTTAAGGGTTGTACGGCTACTTATGAAGATTTTCGTAATCTTATTTCACACTATAATATATTTTACCAACTTAATGCTCTTAATTGATTGCTTACATGTTTTATGAAAAATTGAACCATTTGGATTGAGTTAACTTGTGTGTTTACCATTTTATCAAATGTTTTTCACCTGTAGTCAGTAAAGAAGAATGTTCTGTATACTAACTTTATCAACATTTTAATCACCTTGTATGATTATGAATGCGTCACAGTTGAATGAATGTAACCCGAAAGTAGAAAATAATATAGAGCTATCTTTCAAAGAGTTATATGGATAGTTCTAGATTAAGAATTTACCTTCCTAGTGTTAAAATGATGGGTATTATAGAAGACGTTTAAATCTACAAATTATAGACTGTTAACTTCTTGTCATGCTGTATAAAAAGTGATAATGTAATCGATAACAATAGTCTTTTTTCATAATATATTGTTTACTTTTCATTCTTTTGTCTTTCTATTCATCCTACTGTATTATTATTAGGTGTAGTCGAAAGCGTTGAACAGACGAGTGAAAAAGATCGTACATTGCATAAGGAGGTGAGTTATTATCCTACACTATCCAACGGTCATTATTCATTCTAGCTTAGATTACTGTAGACATCTAGCAGTCAAAGTGAAATTTCATATACTAAGATGTAATAGTATCCACTGTCTTCTGGATTATTTTGCAAGAAAGACATCTTCTTAATCTGTTAATAGATTATATTAAAATTGTTGATGGCTAGTTGAATGCTATTCCTGTAAAAGTGTCAATTGTGAAACTAGGAAATGTTTTCTATGTTTTATCTTATATTTAGAAGGATTTACAGTTACATTTTCCTCTTGTAGGTTATTCATCAAATGTTGAATGGTTTTTTCAACGATCTTTTATTGAATCCCAAATGTCAACCTAACTGGTCCAATGAATCTATTAATATGGATTGTATCGATTTCACTGAGGTTTGTTGTGGATATTACCATTATTATTATTATTAGCAGTATTTGTCCCTTGGGTTCCTAGTGGAACATAAGGCTTCAGTAGCACGTCTACATTTCACTCTCTTCTCTGTATTCTTTTGAAACCTGGCTCCACGACAGCCCAGAAGCTCTTATTTCTCCGTCACACGATCTCCTCTATGTCATCCTCACCTCAGACGCCTAACTCATCGCTTCCCATCTGGGTTCTACTCAAGTGCCTGGCGCGTGATGTCCCTGAATGGTCTTCTCAGTGCATGCCCAATCCATCTCCACTTCCTTCTGCATATTTGTTGGGTGATACGTTCTTGGTTGGTTCGACGCCAGCCAGAGTTCCTCCTTGCTTATTATTTCTGGCCATCTGATCTTCAGTAACGAGCGAGCGTAGGTGGCAGTTGTTGATGAATGTCTATAGTTTGTTGGAAATGCCTTTGGTAACGCGCCAAGTCTGTGAACCATATAGAAGCAGTGACTTGACTGAGATTGTTGTTGAAAATCCGGATGTTGTTCACGCTTTATGCTGAGTGCAGTGCAGAAGATTTTCACACTGGTTTCAAGCTAATGAACGCTTGTCTTGCTTTTTGGATCGTGGCTACCTTGACGTCCTGGTGTGTGCCTGTGCCACCTGTAGTTGAAACAGTGCTGCGTAGGAAGGTGGGTGAAAGAGGCGACTTCCTTTAAGTTTCTCCTGTTAGCAAGGTCTATCTACAACTTCGATTATTTACGACCAGTTTTTTTGTTTGTTCGCTTTGTAATACATGGTAATTAGAGGTTAAACTAAACCTATCACTAACGTCACATATTTATGTTGAATACTCTTATGCAATGAATATAATATCGGATTACGTAGGGAGTAGATATTTCATTTAAAAAAACTGTTTATCATTTTGATGATCTAAGATAGCCGCGATTTGTTAGACTAGTATTCATACTAAGTGGTGACTGAAGGTGAAAGGAAAATTTGAACCGCTACCAGATTCCATTTTCATTTTACCTTCAATCATTATCCAGTATCAGTACTAGTCTACCGAACCATGGGTATCTCACATAGTCAAATGATAATCAATATGACACCTCCTCCCCCACTCTGATTCACTTACATTTCTATTGAGATGAGAAATCCTGACTAGGTGTCCAGTGTGAGTAGGATCAAGCGGTAGTAATGCGTCACAAATTCACATGATAGTTGAGCAAAACCCTTGGTGATTGAAGTGAAATAAAACTCTGGTCAACAGTCGGACGTCATATCTCAGTTGGTAGAGCACCGGGCCGGTAGCCCGATGGTCGCTGGTTCGCATCCGGTCGCGGTCCAGATTTTTATCTCACCTTCAATCATCACTCAGAATAAAAAACTGTTTGAAGATTTTGTCTTTTATGATCAGTAAACTAGTTCTGTATCCATTTGGTTTCTAAATCTTAAAACTCAGAGTAACTTTTAGTATTGAGAATTACAGTCATCATTCGCATTGTGCAATACATTTTGGTAGAGCTGTAAATCTATAGGTTAAACAAAGCAGGAAGATGAACAAGGTTTTCAACTGCCTTCAAGGTCTGCAGTTACTTGTCTGTTAAAAAACCTGTGTGTACTATCTATTAACCTCACGGTAGAGAATTCTACGGTGGTCTCGAATTTTAGGTGATTTTACTTCACTATATCGGACTTTTTTACGTAACTGCACGCCAGCTGATATTATCGCTTATTTACTTTATTTCTTTATGAGAGTAGTAGATGCACAACATCCTCTTACTGCATCAATGTAACGTTAGTAATTCGATTGTTCTTAATGTATCAATATTAACAATGTGTAGTCTACGTGTTTTTGATTGCGTCATGTGATAGTAGGGAACAAATCTACTTAACCTCAATGATCACTTCATTTATCTTGGAAGTCATATCAGCTCTGACGGTCTAGTGGCTTATAAGATCTCTTCTCGACTGACTTCTACCAACTTAATTTATCTGTGAAGTCTGCAGAATATGTGATTGTTTGTCTAAAGCTGAGTGTATTGCCCAGGAGTAATTTCTGTCGTTTTCTATGATTGTGAAACTTGTGAATAATTGGAGGAAACTTCAGTTAATTCTGTCACCGTTACGTTCATAACATCACCCATATGTTATTTAGTCATCGTGTATAGATTTAGCATACAGAATTACTTAGGGCAAGGAATGTGGCTGATAAAATCGTAGGCCTTTATCGATTGAAGTGACTAGAACATATCGTAGGTATGCAGAGTTACCATCAATCCCGGTGCACTATGTTATCTAAAATGGGATCATGTTTATAAAGCGTTACCAGACTAAGTTATGATATCAATGCATGAAACCGATTAATAATTAGGGTGTAATCAGCAGTTTTGTCGTTTAAACGTGTATCTGTTGCATAGATGTTCATTATTATTATCTTTTTTCCCCTGAGTATTTTTAAAATTACGTTTATCTTTTTAAATTAGTATCAATTAGAACTGATGAAGCATTTTCATTGTACAAATGAATCAATCTTGTTTAACATAATGGAAAGTCTACAGAAAATTTTACAGTCAATTCAACACACTTCTACTGCTCAACAAAGTTCATCTCTACTATATTTATTCCTATTTGCATTTTTCGTCTCTTATGTAAGTTTGGGCTTTTTCCTTTATCTGCATATCTAACTAGACATTATGTTGTCTACATATCTTGTTTTTTCTTACTTTGGCAACGAGAACGTTAAAACTTGTTACTAGGCAATTTTGATTGAGTCAAACTTCTTGTTTCAAATAGTAATTAGTATCCAATATGGTCAGGGAAAGGGCATGGGAACATGGTTTAAGCCTTATTGTCCTGGATGTATTCATATGTAAAACTTTCGAAGATTCATTTTATTCTTCGTATTCAGCATAAAAAATGTCTATGAATAGTATTACGAAGCCGTTTATTCATGTTCACCGTTTCAAGTAACAGGGTTAATGAGCAAAGTTCATATGAAAAAACTGTTAGAATTTTTAAAAGATTGAATCAAGCACATAAATCAGCGGCAATATAATCAAAGTATGTTCCTAGTGAAAATAATGACTGACTGATTGATAAAATCAACGTAGAACCCCGCACACAGTTGCATCAGCTCAATTTCCCAAACTTTACAGTAGTACAAGAAGAACATGCGGATAAAAAAAAGAGTGAAATCAAACTCGACGAAGTTGGGTTAGAAAAACAAGCTAAAGATAAAGTTTAGTGCAATTGTTCAAGCTTTAGAAGATGTCGAGGAATGAATAAATCTATGCCATTGTGACTGGTTTTCTTTCGTTTCGGGGACTTCAGCCAGGTTGTCTACATCTCCTCATATGGCTCAGACCAACCGTAAGAAACTTCACCGACTTGCGCAGTTACATGTTCAAGCCATCTCAGCCAATGAAGGTTCGCAACTTCACCAGTCGACTTTCTCATCTTGCCTTGTACCTTTCACCTGACCTCAGCATTGCTCAAATCCTGATTCCACCAAACAGTAAGACTTCATCAATCACAAACCACACGTAGAACCGTACCTATGTCCACAACCTTTCCTTGTATTTTTAGACATTGATTATCATTATGCACTATAGCTTCTAGTAGCTAATTAAAAGATGCAGCAACCCGGGAACCGGTGTTTTTTCTATCGCTTTGTAAATTCAGTGATTTTTCTGTTACTATAAAACAACACTTTGAAGAAAAGAAATCCAAAGGTTGTATCATAGGCTTTTTTTGTTACAAGTAAAAACTATTCAGATAATCTTAGTATAATTGTTTTTATATGATACCGTCGTTGCTTGAACCGAATTGATCGGTCTCTATTGACATATGGGCTCCTGTGCGGATGCGTCGATATTGCCTACGTTCTAATTGTAATAATGATGGATCGTGGCTAGCAGTGGGACGCAGGCAATATCGAGGCATCCGCACAAGAGCCCATATGCCAATAGAGACCGATCAATTCGGTCCAAGCAACGACGGTATCATATAAAAACAATTATACTGAAACTATACCCGTCGCACAAAAAGTGGCTATCGTGGCTCGGTGGTGTCGTGGATAACGCCCTGGCGTTTGGAGCGACTGCCCCCGAGTCCGAATCCCAGTGGGAACAACATCACTCACTGGAAGCAAGTACATCCAGCTGATGAGTCCCAAATAGGACGAAATGCCCATCCTGAATTCCGCTGCTAGTCACGATCCATCATTAATATCTAGATAATCTTTTCTAATAAATTTTTAAAATATCAAAATATCCTGGTACATTTTTCTAGGTTAGTTATATTTCCTCATTTTTTTTTCAACTTTTCTCTACTAGTCTTCCTGTTTTGTCTGAAATGGTAGTATTTATAAATATTTTAATGAAAAACCTTTCAGCACTTTAAAGTATACGATATTTGCACTGGTTTGACATTCGTTGTCATCCTTTTTAATGGAACGTCAGGAGAGATTTTTTACATTGTAAAAAGACTAAATCAGGTCGTGTTTTAAAGGAAAGGCTAATTATGAGGCATACATTTTCGAGTTGTAGTATGAATAAATATCTTTTCGAAAGACTGAAATCCGAGGAATGAGCCTGAATTCAATAGTATGTCGTATATCAAGCTAGTTACGTTGTAGCATAGTTGTTTTTCTTCCATACAGAATGTGGTTAGCTTTTCTTACGTATCAAAAAACGTCTTTTTATCCGATGGTTTAAGTCTTCCTTAGCAATAGTTTTCAGTGGATCGATAAAGAAATGCTATAAATAAACACACTATGAACACGAATCATCCTATCTCAAGAATCTCCGCATTGAAAGTCACTTAGAAAGTGAAAAGAAATCTTCCATATTCTTTGCATCGCCAAACCTATTGTTGTCATGCATATAGAGAAGCCTGGAAGTTGTACTCAAAAGAAAATTGTTCAACCTCTTCTCCTTTCATTGTCTTAATTTTCTGTTTTTGAAATCACCTCTTCCTACATTGTTCACTTCTTACCGTTCATTCTTATTTTCCATGATCTTTCTGATGACATTTTAGTTTCCCACTGATATATCTTGTTAATAAACTAGTTATCTGTTATAGAGTATATATATATCACTATTCAAGCATAGTAATCTTTTTGGATAATCTTCAACATTCATTGTAGTTTTTGATTTAAGTGACAGCTCATGTATTGAAACCGTTTTTGTTTTCATCTTTGATAAACTATTTTTAACTATTAAACAGTAACACAAAATTTTTCCTAGCTGAAATCCTGAGGTAGTTCGCACTCATCCGAGAGTTATAATCTGCATTACCATGAATTTATTAGAACAATAACTGACATGGCTTAAGATTGAATCAAGTGAATAATGGGTTAGGGAAGAACGGTGGACGTTATATGGTTCGATTCTCATTTCCAATCATACCTTCTTGGACGCATTATGCTAGGGAAAGTTAGATCACGGCTGCCAGATCGAGACGTGGGACCAGTCGATGAAGTGTCTTACTACTGGCCATAAATCTGCTATGAATGTGATGTATCTGGGTGATGATTGAAGGTGAGATGAAACTCTGGACAGCGGCCGGTTTGGAACCAGCAACCACCGGGCAGCCGGCCCGGTGCTCTACCAACTGAGATATGAGGTCCGACTGTTGACCAGAATTTTATTTCACTTCAATCACCAAGATCCTCGCCTGGTTAACTAGCTCACTAGTTACTAGCCGGTCCTAAGCTCGGGTAAAGAGGGAAGGTCGGGTATTCTGCTAGCAGCCCTGACCCGTAAAACAAATCTAACCGCTAAAGAAACTTCAAAGCGCAAACGATATATAAAAAATAAAAACAAAATTATTCCTCGCTGGAATCGGAGAGGCGAAATGACGCCAGTTGGTGAAAGCCTTCGGGAAACCAATTGGCTGATGTGTCTTCTCTCTCTCGATGAAAGCGAAAGTAAACGTGGGGACATGGAATGTCCGCACTATATTTGAACCTAGCTGGCAAGGCAGCTCAGATTGCAAAGGAGATGAGGAGGTATCAAATTGAAGCGTTGGAATTTGCTAAAGCAGATGGAATGGGAGTGGACTCTTCAAACTGTCAACTGGAGAATCAATAATTTACCCCGATATTTTCACCCAGACGACAACCACGAGCACACTGAGTTTTGGAGTGGCTATCATGATGTCCCCAAGAGCATCGAAGGCTCTCATGCAGTGGGAACCAATCTCCTGAAGGATCATGACAGCAAGGTTCAACTCAAAAAGAAGGAAAGTCACAATCATACAATGCTACACTATGCACCTACAAATAATGCAGGGCAAGAGAAAAAGGAGGAATTCTACAGACAACTGCAATCAACACTGGACAAGACCTCAGTTGGCGATATCGAAATTCTAATGAGTGTGTGACATGAATGCCAAACTGGGAGCGGACAACACAGGAAGAGAACTAACTATGAGCCGAGAAGCGGTAAGTGAAATGAATGAGAATGGAGAATTGTTTGCAGAATTCTGCGCATTCAACGATTTAGTGATTGGAGGCAGTGTGTTCAAGCACAAGGATATCCACAAAGTGACATGCATTTCACTAGACACCAGGACACACTAAAAATCAGATCGACTTTATCTCAATCTCAAGAAAATGGAGACGCAGTCTACTTGACACAAGAGCAAGAAGAGGAACAGATGTAGGTTCACACCTCTCACTACCTAGTGCATAGAACCTTCCAAATCGAGTTGAAAGCCTTCAAGGAAGCTGGTGATAGACCTCAGTTCAAGTACAACACTCGGAAACTGAAGGATGAAACTACAAAGGAAATCTTCACGTCAGCCAGCCATCAACACAAAATGGGAGATATCGAGGAACATCCCTGAAGAAACCTGTGTGGAAGAACACTGGAAGTCTTTGAAAGCTATGTGGAAAGAAACCTGCACAACCGTATTAGGAAGGAAGAAGAAAGAAGATAAGGAATGGATCTCGATGGATACCTGAAAGCTGATAGAGCAGGGAGAGGAGGATGGTGAAGCAGAATATGAACCAGTGCAAGGATGCTCAACGACAAGAGGAACTGAGTACAATATATAAAACACTACACTGGACAAAGAAGTGAAGAAGAGTGCACGGAAAGATAAAAGACACTTGTACGAAACACTGGCAAGTGAAGCAGAACAGGCTGCAGGTAAGAGAGACCTGACGACATTGTATCAAATAACCAGGTTGCTATCTGGGAGGGAAGAGATCAACAGAGATGAAACCAATAAAAGGTGATGACGGGAATTTAATTGCCAAAGAAGAGAAGGAGAAGAAACAACGGGCCAACCACTTCAAGGAGCTCTTGGACCGACCACCACCTGCACTTCGTCCAGAAATACCACCGGCAGCCCAGCCACAGAACTACAAGTGAACACAAATCCTCAAACAAAAGTGGAAGTCCTGAGAGCCATAAAGCTACTGAAGTGTGGGAAAGCAGCAGGACCAGACGGGACACCTCCAGAAGCACTGAGAACAGACGCAGAGACAACAGCGGACGTTCTCACACCACTATTGCAGAAGGTGTGGAAGGAAGAGAAGGTACCTGGCGAATGGAAGAAGGGGTTACCTTGTCAAACTGCCGAAGAAGGGAGACCTCAGTGTTTGCAAGAACTGGCGCGGAATCACTCTCCTGTCCACCACAGCAATCAAAATATTAAGTCTCATCATCCCGGAGAGGCTAAAGGATGCACTGGATTCAAAACTGCGACCGGAAGAGGCAGGCTTCAGGAAGCATAAATCATGTGTGGACCAAATTGCAACGCTTCGCATCATCATAGAAGAGAGTACAGAATGGCAGTCAACTCTCTACCTCAACTTTATCGACTTTGAGAAGGCCTTCGACAGCGTCGACCGGGAGGTAATTTGGAAACTGCTTCAATACTACGGAATACCACAAACCTTTATCAATCTCATTCGATAACTATATGAAGACGCCACATGCCAAGTAATTCACAATGGGAAGCTCAGTGATGCCTTTGAAGTGAAGACAGGAGTAAAACAAGGTTACCTACTATCACCCATGATATTCCTGATTGTGGTCGACTGGATCATGCAACAAACAGTGGGGAGCGAGAAGAGAGGGATACGCTGGCTGGACCGGGGAAAAGAGCCTAGAAGATCTAGATTTCGCCGATGACTTATGTCTAATATCACACAAACTTGAAGATCTACAGGCGAAAACTAACAAGTTGACAGATGAGGCAGCGAAGACCGGAATTTCTTCAGGTGAACGTAGAGAAGACAGAGGTGATGAAGATACCCAACCAACAACAACAACAAGCTCCAATCACCATCAACAGGAGAAACTTAAAGGAAGTCGCCTCTTTCACCCACCTTCCTACGCAGCACTGTTTCAACTACAGGTGACACAGGCACACACCAGGACGTCAAGGCAGCCACGATCCAAAAAGCAAGACAAGCGTTCATTAGCCTGGAACCAGTGTGGAGATCTGCACTCAGCACATGGAACAAGATGCGGATTTTCAACACCAGTTCAATCAAGTCACTGCTTCTATATGGTTCACAGACTTGGCGCGTTACCAAAGGCATTTCCAACAAACTACAGACATTCATCAACAACTGCCGCCTACGCTCGCTCGCTACTGAAGATCAGATGAGATGGCCAGAATAATGAGAATAGGCAACAAGGAACTCTGGCAACGAACCAACCAAGAACCCATCGCTTAACAGATATGCAGAAGGAAGTGGAGATGGATTGAGCATACACTGAGATTGCCGACTGGGGACATCAGGCGCCAGGCCAGGCACTCGAGTGTAACCCAGATGGGAAGCGACGAGTTGGGTGTTGGAGGCGAGGGTGACATGGAGGAGTTCGTGCGAGGAGGAAATGAGAGGTTGTGGGCTGTCATGGAGCCAGGTTCAAAAGATTTCATTGAACAGAGCGCATTGAAGACGTGCTACTGAAGCTGTATGTTTTATTAGGAACCCAAGGGACAAATAATAATAATGAATCACCTAGGGTTTTGCTTGACTATCATGTGAATTTGTGACGCATTACTACCGCTTGATCCTACTCACATTGGACGCCTAGTCAGAACTTCTTATCCCAATCGAAATGTAAGTGAATCAGAGTGGGGGAAGAGGTGTCATATTGATTATCATTTGACTATCTGAGATACTCATGGTTTGGCAGACTAGTATTGATACTGGATGGTGAATAAAGATGATGTGAAAACCTGGACCGCGGCCGGAGTTGTTCAGCAGTGGGACCTTGTAGCTCAGTTGATAGAGCACCTGGCCGGTAACGCGTCGGTCGCTGGTTCGAATCTGGTCGCGGTCCACATTTTCATCTCACCTTCAATCATCATACTAGTCTGCCAAACTACGGGTATCCCAGATAGTCAAATGATAATGAATAAGATTATTGTTTTTCTTGCCTTCGATTTCCCTCTTTTTTTTTGATCAGATTGCTCAAAATGTATTATGCAAGTAGATCATATCAATCAAATAGAATTTAGGTCTTCTAATTACACTATCCAATATTAACTATTATCTTCTTTTTCGAATCTAGGTAAAATATTATCAAAAGATACCGGCTAAGAGCTTTGTATCGTCTATTTTCGAACTATGTAAAGATCCAGTAACTGATCATATTTTCTACGATTCATTAATTCCAGCAGTTCTTGAGATTCCCAGTAAGTCTGTCATTCATATGGGTTAACCATTTTAAGTATGTTGTTAACATCTCAACATATTTGGTATTCTTCAGCTTCCATTTCTATCATTTTTGCTTTTCTTTAGTGTGTGTGTTTTTTGTGATAGTTCTGATGAATTAGTGATGATTAGTGTGATGGTTAGTTAACCATAGTGTAAAAGATGTCTTTGAATTTATTTCTAAGCTAGATAATGTGAATGTAAACGAAAAACACATGATACCACTTGATATCTTATCACTACTCACTAATGTGCCATTACCGGAGACGGTAGAGTTTGTATGTCAACAAATATTGGAAAGACAAATCATCGTGATTCCTGTACACATCCTCAATGAGCTGCTTCTTAAATGTACTATGAATGTACATTTTGTCTTCAATAACTCTCATTATAGACAGATTAATGGGATAGCTATGGGTTCACCACTTGACCCTATTTTAGGTGATATATTTCTTGCCAAGAATAGAGCATTGAAAGAGGTCATTAATGAGATGATTATGTATCACCGTTATATTGATGACCCATTCATTATCCTGGATCAGAATGTAGATACAAAAGAAGTATTAAGAAAATTTAATGAAGTGCACCCTTCACTCACTTCCACTTGTGAGGAAGAAAATGCGAGTAAACTATACTTCTCGGATGTCTTGCTAACCAGAAGAGAAGATGGTTCACTCAGTAAATATGTTTACAGGAAGACTACATCTATAAGTCAGTCAGTACACACCTTTTCTTAGTCATATACCCATTCGGTACAAAGCAAACCTGGTTAAATGCCTCACTAACAGAGCGAGAAGAACATGTTGAAATGAATTACGCTAACAGTTTCATCAAAAGACACATAGACAAAGCCAGGGGAAACAAACCTGGAATTATTACCATACAAAAGAAACCGTTGTTCATGAAATTGCAATTTAATGAGGATGTAGGCGGAGAAGTTTTATATCAGAGAGACTCTTTACAGTCACTAAGAGGAACTTGTACACCCCACAACTCTGTCTATCATTTTCTAGTGTTGTTGTTCAGACAAAAGATAAGGTATCTAGTTTTGCCATTTCTATGTGTATTTACAAGTTTAGCTGCTCCTGTGGGGAAAGCTGTATAAGGTGTACTACTAGACAACTTAACAAACGTGTTGCTGAGCATTTATCCTCATGGTTTGGAAAGGGACAGATAAAATCTATCAGAAGCTCAGTTTAATCTCGCCTTGTTGATAGTGGTCACTTGGTAGATAAGAACAATGCTTTCACGATGATTCAGCGCATACCACCTCATCTTTCGAACAGTATTTAAACTCGTCTTTTATACATAGCAGAAGCTGTGGGAATTTGAGTTAATAATCTTAGTCTTTGCATTCAGTAGAGATTTGTACATCCCTTATCTCTTCCTTGGCTAGGGAATACTTAGTTAATAACTTTATCATTGAGTTATTTTCCTATCCCTTCCCTATTCTTCACCCCTTTCATATACTTACTGTATTTATTTAGACTTTGTTTATCCACTTACCTCGTCCTTCAGTATTACAGTAGCTTTTATTTTCTCAAGCATTTGACCCACTTTGATTATCGGAGTGTCAACATTTTCATGTCACTTTGTTGGCTATTATCATCATTATCACCTATATTGCATGTACTTCAGTCAACACTATCACTTTTATCATTATTATTATCATTGTCATTATTATTATTATTATCTGTATTATTATCACCATCGTTATTTTTGAAACATTTATAATATCAATCGAGAAATCTACATAATTGGTTTAATTTTATATATACTAAACTATTTGTATTTGAGTAAAGCCTGAAGAGGATCTAATGGAAAACGATATTGTTCGCTTAGATGTGATGAAGTCTAGTCTTTTTTAAGTATTGATTTCTGTAAGCAGTGTTGAATGATTCTGATTTTCCTCACTATTTTGTGAAACCATAGAGAAAAAACTGAGCCAAGCCTATATGTACAGCTGTAGATAAGGAAAGTAAATTGAATGTATGAGCTGTCCACGTTTTGATTATAATTTCTGGAATATTTTTCTTCATGTTTTTTGAAACACCATTTTCATACAAGTAAAAAACTAGCTAAAAAAAGTCGTATGAATCTGTGATTGGCTGTCAGTCACAGTTGTGTTGCCAAATAGTGGTTTCCTTGATGATTACAGTTGAGTAGATGTATTCATTATCTCTTAACCCCCCATTAAAATCCTGGTGTTGTTTTACGCTTTGCCCATCTTTTTGATGTGTTCACCTTCGTTTGCAGATCAAATTGCAACGCTACGCATCATCGTAGAACAGAGACTTTGAAAATGCCTTCGATCGAGGCGTCGACCGAGAAGTAATTTGGCAGGCAGCTGCTTCAACACTACGGTTTTAGTGTCAAAACCCTTTATCAACTTCATTCGATAGCTATATGATGATGATGATGATGCTACATGCCATGCTCAGTGACTCTTCTGAAGTGAAGACAGGAGTAAGACAAGGTTGCCACCTACTATCACCGATGATCTTCCTGATTGTGGTCGACTCGACTAGACTGGATCATGCAACAAACTGTGAGAAGCAAGAAGAAGGGAATACGCTGGCTGGACCGATGAAAAGATCCTAGAAGATTTGGATTTTGCCAGGGATGATGATTTATGTCTAATCTCTTGTGGCAAAAACTCGAAGATCCACAGGTGAAAACCAACAAGTTGACAGGAGAGACGAGGCGGGGCAGCGAAGGAAGACGGGACTTCCTTTAGGTGAATGTAGGGAAGACAGAGGTGATTGAGATACCCAACCAACAATAACAGCAAGGATCAATCACCATGAACGGGAGAAATCTAAAGCAAGTTGTCTCTTTCACCTACCTAGGCAAGGCAGCATCTTTTCAACTGCAGGCGGCACAGGCACAGATGAGGATGCTAAAGCCAGCATCGGAAAGACAGCAAGACAGGCCTTCATTAACTTGAAATCAGTGTGGAGATCTACTCCACTACACTGTACTGGACTCAGCATAAAGCGTGAACTATATCCGGATTTTCAACACTAATATCGGTCAAGTCATTGCTTCTATATGGTTCAGAAACTTAGCGCGTTATGAAAAGCATTTCCAACAAACTACAGATATACATCAACAGCTGCCGCCTACGCTCGCTCACTCGATACTGAAGATCAGATGGCCAGAAAGAATAAGCAAGGGCGAACTCGGGCTGGTAACGAACCAGGGAAACAAGAACCTCTCTTTCAAAAAAATATGCAGAAGAAAGTGGAGATGGATTGGATTGGGCATACACTGAGAAGATCGATTGGGGACGTCACACGCTAGCCTAGGTCCACGAGTGTAATCCAAAGAGGAAACGATGAGTTGGGTGTCCCAGCTGAAGGTGACATGGCGTAGATCATGTGAGGAAGAAACGAAAGCTTCTAGGCAGTGGTGGAGCCTGGTTCAAAAAACTTCAGAGAAGAGAGTGAAATGACGACGTGCTACTCAAGCCCTGTTTTCCACTAGGAACCCAGGGGACAAATAATATAATACTCTGGTTTACGTCAGTGTGTTTCTAGGTTTTGTACTGTTGCAAATTTCAGCAACGGTTGCACTTGTATGTGAGTATATTTATGTACGGCCCTGCACTATTGTATCCACTTGAACGTAGGTACAGCGATGAAATTTACTCTATAACTGAACTTGCACATGGTACACATGGAACTGCGGCTCAGTGGTTTAGGGATATAAATATCGACCATTGGGTCACTGGTTCGAAGCCTACTCCATTTGCTGATATTTGGGCAGCCAGGTAGAGTTATTAGACCCCATACATAGGTGTTTCTCGTTGCCTACTGCAAAAATCTGTGTGGTTGTTGAATGCATTTCGATTTTTTCGAAAAAGCTTAATATCTCGGAAATCCTTACAACCAATTAGCATACTCTCAAGTTTCGAGAAAGGATATGTGATCATGTATGTAAATATCAGAGTAATTGAAGTGACAGAATCAATAAAAAAAGTACCCTACTAAATATTTAATTTGAATACATAGAATTCGTTGTATTTTCTGTATGGTTTGACGGTGCAATACACTTTCTGTTGCGATCGAACGAAACGAAACGCACTCGGTCACCTTGTACACATCCGTACAATGAGCTACACCTTTTCTATTTCCCGGGTGTCTTATTGAGCATCAAGCTTGTTGTTCAAATGTCCACAGACATATTCTTCACTCTTTCAACCCCAATACACGTTTCTACACATTCATAGTATCTTCTCCACGAATTAGTCTGGTCAGGAATCAACTAGGAAATTGTTGAACGTTGGTGACTGACACTTGATATCCGTACATCGTTAGCTACCATAGCAGTTTCCAAAACATAATAGTGATGATGATGGAATATTTGGAAATGGATTTATCGAAGTTGGACAAATTTCTCTAACAACAAATGACGATTATTGGGATACTTACGCAATCCAAAATTTCTGGTACCGAATCATCCCTCACTATGCTAGTTTTAATAGCTCCTTCAGTTAATGGCATCGCCAATAGCCCCCCATTGCTGGCATTGTGGTGCCTGGCATTTTATCTAATCTTGTCCACCTAAACAACCTCGGTGCCAGGACTGTAATGCTGGGGCCATAAGGACGGTTTATGCTCCCAACACACACAACGACGTGTACAAAGATCATCCTTCAGATACTGCCGCAGATCCCATTCTCGATCTGTACGTGAGTCTGTTGGCGTGATAGCTGGTTTTCATGCTGATGCACCTGCCCACCGAAAGAATATCGAGAAGACTACTGATCCCCCAGTAAACACGGAGAAACTCCGTGTGCGTCTGTCAGATGGATGCAAGATAAAGACAGTTCAGCCCTGTCTGACCCCAAATAACATTCTTTCGAAGGGGGAGGTGATATGGGGATAGAGAGAAATGACCAGTCTGGAGAGCAACCAATCAAAATGTATTTTATGTTATCACGTCTACAGTTAAACACGGTAGATCAGCCAATCAATAGAATTATTTTAAACAGAGAACTATCTATATATAAGGTGTATTTTCCTTTGTTTTGGACCTTCGCTCTTTTGACCCCAATACACGCTTCTACACGTCCATCGGGTCTTCTCCCCACTAATTAGTCGGATCGGAAATCAACTAGGAATTTGTTGAACGTTGATGGCTGACATTCGACATCCGTGAGTCGTTAGTGTTCATAGTACATAGCCATTTCCAAAATCATAACATTACACGGCTTTTGTTTTAATGCATAGAAATGGATACTCAATATTCAGTAGACAAATTCTCTGAGTGTCTAGTATTTGCGAAGGAAATTATAATTACCTATCTTTTTCTTCATAGAATGTATTAAAATATAACATTATTAAAACGTAATATATATATATATATATACATAGAATAAAAGTTTCGAGTTATTATGAAAGGAGACAATAACGTGTTTTACACTCTAAAAATAATGAATAAAAATAAGTTTTCTTTGTAAAAATTACTCGAAACCTCTGGCAATATGGTCATATAACGTATGATTCGCGAGTAGTTGTGGTGTGAATACTTTTCACTCATTGATATGTGATACTCCTAGACGTTATTTTAAGAACCATTAGTTAATGTAAAGATGATTTAGACGAATAGCTTAAAGAGAATATCTTTAAAGTAAAACATACAGAAACTTGAGTTTCAGAAAATATTTGATTCCAGATGAAAGAAATAACTTTATACCTTATTTAACGCAACTAAATTCTCATCATACACCAAAGGTGATAGTATCTATAAGGTTGTCATCAAGCTATGAAACACAAAAATCCACAATAAAAGCTCATAAATAAAGATCATTCATCTATCATCATTTATAATATTCAGCATAACCCATTTCTCCTTTTTTTAAAATGAGTCGTAATAATTCATTAATCTGTCAAAATGATACTTCTGATACAGTTTGAAGATTGAGGGTGAAGTGAAAGTATAGGCCGTTGCAGGATTCGAACCAATGGTCTCTCAGTTATGGAGCCATCTGAACTACGAAACATGAGTGTTAACCGGGTTTTAACTTTACTTCAATCACTGAAGGTTTTGGCCCATCTGTCTACTTACCGAATCGCTATTCATTCTCATTTACCTTTTTAACCTATGAGTGATTTCATGTTGAAATTCATCATGTAATGAATGGCATCAGTTAGAGGAACGTTGGAATCCCGAAAGCACCGGACAACTGTTTCATCCTAGTATGGGACCGCTCAACAGTGCGTACTCCCGCGAATCGAACCCAGCAATTTACCACTGGGTCGGAATTCGATGGTCCATGTTTCCTACATCTGTCAGTTTACAAGATAGTATGACCTCGGTCCAGTGCCGTTGTTGAATAATTGTCCTCATGTTCTACTTGGTTGACTCCACTGATTACGATTTCTCTTTAGAACACTTCAGGAATCACCTCTCGAAGGTAATCTCCAATGAGCACTGGAATAATTCAATTTAATGGTTTGTGGGAATTTATTGATTGATTTCAGGTTGGTTATTCATTATGAACTATATCAGTTAGAGAAACATTGGGAACCTGAAAGCACTGAACATCTGTTTCACCAATGAGGAATGCCAACCTGAAATCAGTCAATCAATTCTCAAAAACCTCCAAATTGAATTACATCATTCCGTTTTGAATGGTGTATACTTTTGAGTGTCTGTAAAAGTACTGTTAAATTTGATCAGCTTATGTTAATGTAAGACAGTTTTCAAACCAATAATCTTTATTTTTTTCAACCGATTAATTTTTTTCTTTTTTTGCATCATTACACGTATTGTTGTTTGTGTTTTCAGCGTTCTCCCCCCCCCCTTCATAAATGAGCTGTTCAAATCCTTTTTTGTTATTGAATCTTGTTCTTTGTATCTATGCTGTATACTTCACTGTTTGCTACTACCACTGTCGTCTTGTCTTTGTTTTTTTTTTACCCATCTGGTAGATCATCATCAGAGTGAATATATATTGAATTTTTTAAAGAATTCTAGCCTACCATCGGATTGCTATATCCTTCTATGGTAAGTTCCGATAGTATGATTACTATACCTATGTTTATTGAAAAAGTTATCATAGTTCATTTTAAGTTGTTATTCATCGTAGACTGACATCAGTTGGAGGAACAAAGAAAACCTGGGAGTACTCACTGGACAGCTGTTTCGTCCTAGTATGGGACTTCTCAGCAGTGCGCACCCACGACCCCGCCAGGGATCGAACCTGCGACCTTTAGGTTCCACTGCCAGCGCGTTACTATTCAGTCACTAGGTCAGAATCCAATCTTCCATATTTCCAACTTCTGTTAGCTCACGAAATATTTGAAATATTTCCAAATCTCTACAACTCCCTCAAAATTCAATAGTTCATTTTAGTCTGTTTATTAGCTGTGTAACTCAATGAAACAGTATCATTTACTCGATAACGTTTTTGACATGGTATATTGTCCATATTCGTATCAGGTAACCAACGCGACAACTTTAAAACACAGTTTATATAGTCCTAATTTTCTCTCCTTCTCTGTAATGACAAGTGTAGTAGAAATTTTCCATATGTCTGAGACAGGTGCAGGATCATTTCTGTGACTGCATTTATTTAGTGTTGATTCGATAAACAAGGATTTCGTTATCAATCTCTCCCTCCATGCAACCAAGAAAATTAAGAAGTCAGCGGCTACTATTATGAGTAAGGTTAAGAAATCCACGGGGAATCTGATACTCCGAACGAAGCCGTTTCTAGGTTAGTTTAATTTAATGTCGAAAACTAATAATCCCAGTATGGTACTATTAAGATTCATAAACCAGGTTATCCCATAAGACCTATAGTAGATTTTAGAAACAGTCCAATCTACTAGTTGTCTAAATATTTAGCAATGGTGTTCGGCCCAATATGGAATCACTCAAAATCCCGACTTACTAACTCTTATAACTTATAACACGCATTAGATGATATACATTTCGATGACAATAAAAAAATGGTTAGTTTTAACATAACCGGCCTTTATACGAGTATATCGATTAATATGGCTCTAGATGTAGTTAGAAATGGACTTAAAGATGACAAAGAACTTACACATAGAACTAAGGTGCCAATCAGGAGAACTATGCTGGGAGTACGATTGTGCCAGACACCTAAAGTTTTTAAGTTTCAAAATAAAATATGTAAACAAGCTTAAGGGAGTGTCATGGGATTATTAATATCCCCTATTGTCGCAGATATACTTATGGATAGTTGGAAACGGATGGCTCTTTAAATATTTCCTCCTACTCCAAAGACATAGTTCTCATATGCACATGATACATTTACAGTACTGAAATCGGAACACATCAATAGGTTCTTGGCACATATAAATTCAGTAGTGAATGCAATCCAATTTACTTACAAAGTGAAGAAGGTGAGCTAGCGATCTTGGATTGCAAGATTAAACGAACATAAAACGGAAGTTTGCAGATCAGTATCTATAGAAAACCTTCCTATTTGAATCGCTGCTCAGACTTCAAATAATCTAACCCCATCTCAGTTGAAGTAAGCTTAGTTAAATGCCTGAGTGATAGGGCTAAAAAGCTTACTGGTAGACCAGAAAATCTACTGCAAAAAATTTGTCACAAAGAAAATCTTGCAACCCAACAAATACCTACATAAACTTATCAGTAAATTCATAAGAAATCGAAAGAAAAATGCGAGCAGTAATAGTTGTAGTAGCACAGTTGTCATTAATAATAATTCTACTAATAACTATAATAGTGGTGACAGAGTTGAGAGAGAATTCAGACTCCTCTGTGTTACAATAAAGTTATAGTACACAAAGAATGCACCTCAGATGGGTCACCAAGAATTCTGAATAAGGCTGGGGTTGAAGTGCCATTCAAACCAAAACACTGGCATTGAGACAAGCTTTGTAGGTGAAACGATCTTATTGATGCAGTTAGGCATAAGAGTGTGGTATACGAAATCCGTTGCAATGAATTACGAAGTCAAATACATAGGGCAATCAAAGTATTCAAGTGGCCAGAGTCGATTAGAATAAGAGAGCAAAAAAACTTAGTTAAATCAAGCTTACTATATCATGATAAGACGTGAAGTTTAGAGAAATGCTTGAGTATAGCTTTGTACACAATCAGGCAGTAGGTTGGACTAGAGCGATAGCGTTACAAACTAACAGTTGGGTTCAGAGACAGATTGATAACCGGGTCCTTGTTTATTGAGATGACACTGAATGCATGCAGTCATAGAAATGATCCTGTACCTGTCTCAGACATGGAAAATTTGTACTACACTTGTCATTACAGAGAAGGAGAGAAAATTAGGACTATATAAACTGTGTTTTAAAGTTGTCGAGTTAGTTACCTGATATGAATATGGACAATAAATGGTGTTCGAAAGGTTATTGATGCTGTTTCATTGAGTGACACATCTAATGAACAGACTGAAATAGAACTACAAACTACCACGCTGCCGAGGTTTTACTCCTATATTGACGGAATAATATCAGCTGACCAATATTACTGAGTTGTATGATATTCTGTATTTCTTTAATTACTGAGACAGGCATATATTATGGAAAAGATTGTTTGTGGAAAGATTAATTATACAAAGAAGCGAAGTGTAGTGTTTTGTTTATGATGATGAGGAGTAAAGTTTTATCTGTAAGAGGTTTGAAAGGTTCACTGATTATTTTGATGATAATGGCTGACCTGACTAAAAGATGACATCATTCCATATAGTCTCATTCGTGTGGGATATTGTGGATAGAGGAAATAGATTGTTGGAGGTCGTGGGTGATTGAACCAGTGGGTCGTAATCCATTGTGTTCCATATTTCCAACTTCTGTCAGTTGACTACAGAAGGTGATCATCCCCGAGTATCGTCGTCGAGTATTTGTCCTGATGACGATGGAACCTTAAGGTGTTTGGTTCGATTGCTGGGGTGTCATGGGTTCGTAGTGGTGAGTAACTCGATACTAGGAGGAAACATCTGTCCAATGCTGCTAGGTTTCCAGTGTTCATCCAAATAATTATGGGATGCCATTTATCTGAGTGTTTGGAATGCTCAAAAGGCTATACGTGTTAGGTAGCATATTCGTTCATTTTCATTTGAAATAATTATGACACCTAACTTTTGTATAAAATGTTTCCTCAATAAAAATCCATGAGAAAATGGAATGAAGTTAGTTGTGAATTGAAAATTATTTCCCAGCAATCTTATTGAATGATTTAGATTCTTAACTAATAAAGAATATCTTGATGAATTTGGGTGCTAATATACTTCAGGCTAAACTTTCCTCAACATTGTGACCTTCAAAATCGATTCAATTAAAAAGAGTTGATTGAAGTTAGACTGCAATTGTTGATTGTGTGACGTTTATTCGTAACTATTAGTAAGCTTCTGGAGATTTCAATATTTTCACATTCATTGAAATTGTCCTATTAGATAATCGCAGAAAGAAGACAATTCAGCGAAGAAACTTTTCTTCTCGACAAATCACTTTCAATAACTGTACATTTTGATCAAAGCTACAATAAAACATACATCCATGAATAATGAATGGGTCAGTATAAAGTGATGATGGCTGGAACGTCGAATGAAGATCAAATCGCCTATAGGATTATAGTGAATAAACACAGAAATGGATAAACTGTCTTAGGGAGGGTTACTGTCTATGCAAAGCTAGAGATTGAATGTATCGCTTTGAAAGACAAAAATGAAGCTTGTACCACTGAATTGCCAGAGCCAAGGCTTTGTTGAGATGATGAATATGCACTCGCTTCGAAATGTTTGACTTCAGTTGATAAATGACTTTGAAAGAAGACTCTTGTAGAGCATAATAACGGGAGGAAGCCAAATGCTCGAAAATTGACCTGTTGATGGCTTTACACTGACGTTTAGATAGCCAAAAATACTACCTTATGAAATGGAGTGGATAATAAGAGCTACTGGCTTAAATGAAACCATGTCAGAGTACTCACAGTCTTCTGAAACTCTGGATCAAACCGACCATAAGTTGTTGAACACATGCATTTTACTACTCGGAAAGGATATTTATGAGTTACCCCTCACTCAAGGTGTATATTGAATGTAGTCTGGTTTAAGTTATCACGTGCTTACCCGACCGATAGCTACTACCTTTATGTAGTCGGTGGGCTTGCATACCACAATGACCCAACGAGGTATGCTGGTGGAACACTTGTTCCCTCGAGGTCCTAGCATACCAGAGAGGTCTGTTGGATATTGGTTAGTCGAAAAGCAGTTACCATCGAACCTCAAGATTGCAAAAGTTCAAAATGATGAGACACAAAATGTTGTTTGTGACAGGTGTGAAGCAGATGTCTGATGGGTTCTGCGGTCACACAAATCTGTGTCAGGTACCTTAAGAAGAAATAGTTTTCCACGGTGTGAGCAGCTGGGAAGTGTCAACCGCCTTCACAACTCTATCAGCACTCAAGTTTCTGATACAAACGGTTTGTGGAAAAGATTATTAACTCTTGAGCGGCAAATTCAACAAACCGAAATCAACTGCCTCTAGAAAATCTAAGAATATTCAGATGAAAATGTTCAACAAGCTAATGGACGAAAAGTATGCAGTAGAGAAGAATGAGATTCTGAGTTGCACATCCCCAGTCATTGATGAAACAAAACGGTGTCGTTAATCTTTCAGCTACCGTTTTAACCTCAGCAGAATTAAAGTTGCTGAAGAAGTGAATTAACTTCGCTGTAGCAGTTAAATAATTGAAATGTGAAACTGTTATTCCAAAAGTTGAAAAAGTACTAAATTCAGTAGATAAGGCAGTGACAGATGAGGTGAGAGCACAATACATGTAAGCCAGTCATACAGGAGGTCAATCGCGGCCCGAATAGCTCTGGAAAGTGGCTGACTACAACACTGGGTGATGCGGCTTCGAGTCTCAGGCGGGACATCAGTTCCATCGAGGTTGCAGATGCGCCTTGCTGACGAGTGCCAAAAAGCACGAAACCTAGGTCAAGCAGGGCTTCCTGCCGATTGCCTCCAACCAACTAACAGAGCACAATA